CCTAAAATTTCAGCTTTCTAGCATCTCAGAACTCCGAGTTATGAACTTACCCGAAAAAAATTTTGGAAAAGCGAAAGCAAAGAATCCCATTTCAGTAAACAGTTTAGCAGTATTTGTTAAAAGGTTACAATGGTTAAAAAGCTATTTATATGATATGTAATTTCGACTGGTGTATGGTGCAAGGTGGTACTAAGTGACAGTGATAATTGTTCCAATTCATTGGATACGATAAGGGATGTGCTCAGAAACTGATGATAGTATGAATGATAATGCTTAGTGTTTGTTGAAATTTTGTGATAATGATGGCTGATGACTGTTTTGTTTAGCGGTAGCGACATTTAGAGTATAGTGATATTTGAAGAAATCATTTAGTAAAAGTGATAATGTTTCGTATTTGAATGAAATATCAAAGTTATTGATAAAATATTACTATCATTTTGATTATTTGATTTGTTTCACTGGTAAAAAAATCACGATTTTCTCAGCCAGTGCATGTTTTGGAGGTTCTGTACCATTTATTCATTTTTTTTTTTGCAGACAGTTGAAGAATATCGGAACGTTTGGAAAAATGAGGTGATCGAATGGTTCGGAGCACTGAACAAAATTGAGGGTGCAGAGTGGTTGATTGTATTTGACAGTGTAAATGCGCGAGAAAAGAAGAATCGCGGGGCGTTGATCGAGCGGATCAAAAGTGATTTCTCGAAATACACGAACAGGTGAGGATGCATTGGTGGTATTTTCCTACAAACACTGATGCCATATGAAGCTATCGTTTATACACTGAAAACCCTGTGTTTTTTCAGATAATTAAAAGCATAAATGTATTTTAGCTAATCGTCATCATTCACACATTTCTTTTTTTTTGGAAATCATTGGCCTGACTCCTAAAATTTTTCGAGAGCATAAGAAGTACATTTTTAGTAAAATTTAAAACAATTAGTTCAACTATTTCAAAAACTTAGCGGATATTTTGGTAACTGGGTTTGAAGGACCTGACATAGCTGCGCCCCTATGTGGAAACATCCCAGTAACATCACTAACATGGAACGCGTAATCTAATGATTGCGCATGGTTTTAGTATTTTTAGCACAGCTAGGATTTATTAATACCAAAAATATCAATATTGTCTGTGTGGGAATTCCATGTTATTGATGCTATTGGAAAGCATGCACATTTCGATCGCTGCTCGGTCCGAGCCGCATACCTTCATAGTATTTAAGTGTGTTTTTATCACTACAGTGGAAAGGAAATTATCACGGAGAAAAATAAAAAAAGGAATTTTTTTCAAAAAACTTTCTTTTTTTCCTCACCAAAACCCTAGAAATTTAGGATAATCGAAGTTCATGGCGCATCGAATTTCGCCGCTCTGCAAAGCAGTACCCAGGCATGTTTATTGAATGCTCTGGAGGATTATGTCACACACGAGGAGAA